TCAGCCAACTTGCTTTTTGATCATAGGTATTATATCTCTAAGACTTTTGGAACATTTTCATTCATATTCTGCATTTATATGTATTACCAGGGTATATGTCGTTTTTCATTCAAATTTTATACAAACATTATAAATGTTGAATACATGTCCATGATGGTTTGTTTTGTGTTTGAATCCAAAGTGACCAACTGGCACCAACTTGTTTTTTCAAAATGTATCATCGAAATGTGTTTTTTTTTTCACAATCAGATCTGTTGACTGTCTGCTGTCTTACTTCTTGACCATACTATTATATCTCTGTACATGAGCCTGGACAAATGAAATTCAGCTTGAATGCAACAAATGCATGAAAAGCATATCCTGTTTAATTTCTGACCATATATTTCGATTTTGGAAGAGTAATTTGATGCATTTAATTTCTGTTGATTCTAGACCAGCCATTTATTCACCCTCAATTACTAACTATGATTATGCATGGTTCATATTACTTTATTTTGGCTTGAATAACATTTCCCCAAATTCCAACGGGGACTATGCCATTAACAATGACTTATTATCATAATTTATCTTTATTGACTTCTAATCCTTATTAGATTATTGATTCTGGTGTGCAATAAGGTTTCCAGTAAAAAAAAGGTTAACTTCAAAAGTACAATAATTGAACATGGTCTATATGTACAGTAATGTTTGCCTCCTAGTGGCTTTCCCATTACATGATACCAGTAGTTAAATTGTTCCACCAATATTTATTATGTTTCACAGCGGAGGATCTCAAAAAATACAAAGATACCACAGAAATGGATAGACTACAACAAGAATTGGAGTATGAAAGAGAAAAAAATAAATTGCTCATTGAAAAGTTTGATCAACTTGAGCGAAAACCATCTTCTAGTGGCAGGTGAGAATTGAATCATTCAGTGAAACTCCTATTAATATTGTATTAATTAAATGTTCATGTAGATCAATTAATGAGTTAATAATGAGTTATAATTATAATTAGGTCAAGATAATTACTTAAAGTGTAGGTCAAGGTGGCAAAAATTGCTGGCTGTATTGACTTTATTAACCATTTCCTATAGCATTATATCTATGTTAGTTTTTTCTCCATATTCGTGTAGCTGTGGTTGACTTTTAACATGTCTCGAATTTGCCATGGAGATAAAAAACAACGAACAATAGCAATGAATTAACATACATGTACTAACAAATATGTACTATATGGGCACTTCAATTATGTTTTAGGCTAGGTTCATTTGAATGTCAACCATAGTCAGTTCATTGAATACATCTGTGTGTGGTGTATATTTTCAAAAAGCAATTTTTACTATGGATCACTTGGAATTTGTCTTACGAATTTGAGCCCGAGTTTCACTGTTGAGTTGATTGTCAAAATGTTCACAATTGGCATAATAAAAAAAAAACATGTGAAGTTTTTTTTTCACATTCTCAGTCTTTAATAGTGACTCCACATAACAAAGTAAACAGTAAGTAATCGTAACAAATAACAGCTGTAATTTTGAAATCCTGCTAATAATACACGTAGAAGAAACAAAAACAAATCACAAAGTTTTTTTTTCATGCTCAGTTTTTGTGATTGCAAACTAAAATAATGATTTTTACCTGACATAGTAAACAATAAATAATTGTTTGACAAATAAAAACTGTAATTTTGAAATCTAGTCATGCAGCTGATGTATAACAGGTGGGCAGTGAGGTAAAAATAAACCAGTCTCTAACATTAGACATATTCGTTATCATTCTGATGAGCACATCAATATAAACAAACAAAATTGAAAATCATGGCGCTTTCTGGTGTCATCAAATCTCACCAGACCATCAAGTAAACTAGTTTAGTTTCAGTATTGTTTTCCTGTCAGCATCAGGTTTCTGTCGTTGGTAACCCCTCCCGGAAAATTCATGACAATTTATTCATAACTGCTTGAGATACAAATGAAAAATCATTCCCGAAATTCCCTTGGGTAACCAGATCCACATTTCTACTAAAATGTAATGTATTGTCAAGGGTAAACTTTTCTGAGAATTGCATGTGAATCTTTCCAATTTTTTTTTAGTTTTCCTGTGTACAGCAAACACTGACTAAAAATATATAAAACTTGCTTGGCAGAGGTAATAATTGAATTTTAGATTAACTTTTCTTATTTGTTTTATTTATCATAGGCAAATGAATATTTTAAATAAACCAAAGTATTGCAAAAATTAATGACAGTAAACTCAACTACTAGGTAAAATAGACTAAATGCATTACTGACAGATTTACATATTTCTTTGTATCATAGAGTTGGTTTAAATGAGTTAGCTGAGGGTAGAAGACCAGAAGATGATGTTGATTCTGGTATTGAAATAGCAGCAGATGCATTACATTTACCAGCACCAGGTGAGCTAAATGAATGTTCTCCAGTCAAATTTTTGATTGATTTTAGTCAGATGATTTTTGCTATCCATGTAATTGCAATGATCTTGGATCTTACATGTATGTTATGCTCGGAACATACAAAATATGGCACATCATGTGTGAAAGATGGCTTGTAATGTGTGAAATATGGCACATCATGTGCGAAATATATATATTTATATAACTTTTGCCTAGTACTATAATGCAATTAGATTACCTATAAACAAAGGTGTTGATTACATATACCACAATGCAGTATGATTGCCTAGCATATACAGTTGCATGTACGCAAATATGACTTTAGCTAACAGCATAGTGGGTTACCGTGGTATCAGTTTACAAAAACAAATCTGTTAGTGGCATCATGCACTGCAAATGTACTTGCAATTGAGCATCTAAGTAATTATTAACGATATCGTTTAAGTGTGGCAGCTGGGATTCCTTAATATCAATTTATTCTGTTGCCATGTACATGAAATATTTAATTTATCATATGCTAGACCTGGGCATTCTTTGTTATATGTTTTTGAAAAATCTTTTGAATTGAAACTGTTCAAATTATTTGAAAACCCCAGGATTTTATGTACATATTTTAATAAATGTTTTTGATGGATAAATGATTTTTATGATTTGATTTTTGCAGCTGAAGTTGAAAAAGTATTGACACACAAGGCAAAGCAGTATAAAATATTAGCTTGGTTGGTGGCGATGTATTACGATTTCGCCTCTGATTTTACAGAGGATGACGAGGAAGAAGAAATGCCACAAGACAAGGAAGGAGATCCTTTGACGGTCAAAAAGTGAGCAGCTTTGTCTATTCTGCTACTTTATTGTACATGGCACCTCTTTATTCCAGTTCTATTATCAGTATTGTTAGGTTACCTCTGTTATTCCATATGTACTACCAGTATTGTGAGGTTACCTCTGTTATTCC